TGAGGTAGGAAACATTTAAGGCCGTCCCGAGTTGGGTAACCCGCAGACAGAAAGAGCTTGTGTGTGTGTGTGTGTGTGTGTGTGTGTGTGTGTGAGAGAGAGAGAGAGAGAGAGAGAGAGAGAGAGAGAGAGAGCTGAAGCTCGATGGGTACGTGCTGTTGAGGAGTTATGGCACTGACCGAAACCAAATGCTGAGTGGATTCCTGAGTCTTTTGGTCTGGACATTTTGCCAGTAAGAGGGAGCATACTTGGAATTCAATTGTACCTGTCAGCATTTTGGGAATGGTGCAACTGATCCTATTCCTGAGTGACCCTATTCCCGAGTGACCCTATTCCTTCCTGAGTGAATTGTTTAAGTCTTTTGGCGCGGCCATATCCAGTGAGAGAGTTTTACTTGCAATTGCATTGTAGTAGTACCTGTGTCAGCATTTCGACAACGTTGTTCCCATTGGTTGGTTAGTTAATGCGGTGTTATCGTCTTCCCCTGAACGGTACGCAGCCTCATTTTGGCTGCACGTGACCGGGAATATAGCTTGTATACATTCATTATGTCGGTGCCTAATGTTCGGCGGAAGACGATAGGCCACTGCCTCGTCATCATATAATATAACATACGTATTCTTATTATATAAAGATGAATTATATAAAATAATATCTGTAATACAGCCTGGAGGGTGAAATATGAAGTATTGAAGTATTACTACCATACTCTCGATAATGACGAGAGGGAAGAACTACAGTCTTCACCCGAATAGAACGCCCGGTCATTATCGCTGCATCTAGACTGAATTATGGGCCAAATGCAGCTGTAATGACCGGGCGTTCTATTCGGGTGAACACGGTAGGAAATGCAAGACGGTTCCCTGAATGACATTCTGTGATTGCGTGAATTGTAGATGAGCAGTTGTGTGTCAAAGTTTGGAAGCATCTCCGTGGATGATTATCATGTATAAATAAGGAAAGACGAAAAAAGTGAAAAAAAAGAAGGAAAAGGAAGAATCAGGGGGAGGTAACCGCTAGAAGGTAAGGGAGGGGGAGAAAGTGAAAAAACAAAACAAAACAGAAAAAAAATCGGGCTCAAAACATGGGACACCAAAGGGTTTTAGAATTCCGCTGAGTTGCTTTTGCGATTTCAGACGTAAAAAAGTAAAAGAAAAAGAGAGAAAAAGAGAAAAAAANAAAAAAAAAAAAAAAAAAAAAAAAAAAAAAAAAAAAGAGTCAGGGGCGTTAACCGCCTGAAGGGGTAAGGGAAGGGGAGATTGTGAACAAAAAAAAAAAAAAAAAACCTAAATGAGGCTCAAAATGGGGAAGGGGAGATTGTGGGGAAAAAAAACAAAACCCCCCTAAATGAGGCTCAAAATGGGGGAAACGAAGGGGTTAAAACTCGGGTGAAGTTGCCTTTTTGCGATTTCAGAACACGGCGAATTTTCTTTTCTGTTTTTTGCGAAATGATATCGTCTCTCTCTCTCTCTCTCTCTCTCTCTCTCTCTCTCTCTCTCTCTCTCTCTGTGTCAGAGATTGACGGCGGCGTTACATGCACGCTATCTTTTTTTTGCTTCTGGCTCTTGAAATAGAAAGTGGGTTAATCATCATATATGGTGGGGCTGACCTATATAGTCTTGTCTTCGCAGAACTGGTGATGACCATGTCTTGTATTCGGGAGGAAGTGCCAGCTAGGGTTTTTGCGAATGAACGTGGTCTTGGTTGCGCTCAGATGCGTCGGTGAAAGTTCTAATTTTTTCGACTGTAATCGGGATACTCGGTCTGGCCGCTCGTTTTGCGATTTTGCGATTTTGAGGGCCTACCTTCTTCCCCTGAATACAACGTACGGTCATTCTAGCTGTATCTAGACTGAAAGATGCGTCAAGTACAGCTAGAATGACCGTACGTTGTAATCGGGGGAAGAAGGTAGTGTGAGTATGCGCTGATGGACGTGAAGGAAGGGGAAACAGAAAAATAATCGGAAGAAAGGCAGGGAGGGTTTTTGTGAGTGAATGAATGCGGGCTTGGTTACGGTCAGATGCGTCGATGAAAGTTCTATCATTCGTGTGTGTAATTTTGTCGTGAATTGATGGACGGAAAGGAGGGGGAAACTACCGAAGCCCAAAGCTGGCAGGTAGGGTTTTTTTGGTGACTGAATGTGGGCTTGTTTACGGTCAGATGCGTCGATGAAAGTTCTAACGTCGGTGTGTAAATCTGTGCCGTAGATTGATTGACGGGATGTAGGGGAAAAAGATATCGAGGCCCAAAGCAGATTGGTTGACCTGAGGGAAGGGAGGGAAAAAAATGGCAGGTAGGGTTCTTTCGGCTGAATGTGGTGCAAGGAAAATAAACAACTGCGAGATGACAATTCCAGATTACACCATCACATTGAAAGCCAGATAGTCACACCGTGTCCACAGAGTAGCACACCAATAATACACCAATGGAGGTTTGTAGTACTGAAAACCAATGTCAGGGAGAGCTTTCTCTCTCCCCCAACAACACGAGTCCGGTCCCTTCACACTCCTACTTAGCAGTCAGCGCCCAGCCTAGTCCTACACAGCTACGATCAGCCTACTAATTGACAATGCAACTGTTGACATCAGCGGCAACCCGAAGTACTTGAAGATGTCGCCCAAATGCAGACCATTGCCAATACAAGGTATGTGCCCTCACATCATCATCATCATCATCCTTCACCCTTTCCTGACTTTACACCCACGTCTTCCTCCCTTACACCCGAAGACCACTCATGCGCCTCGCTGTAGTCCAAGCCCGCCAGCTATGGTGGCTGGGCTATGGCACTGCCCTCAGCAGCGCCTGCGTTTCTCGTCCAGGGCCTGCATGCTGCGGAAAGGCCCAGAAGGCCGTGGAAATGTCTTGGTTGCTCGGCCTGCGTTTCACTCAATGAACTGGCGCGTCGCAACTGCCTGGGCCCCAAATATGAAATTGACAGTCAAAGGCCTTTTGTGATAAATTAGTCCTGCCTTCACTTAGGGCGGGCACCACTGCGAACGGGGCCCCTTAGGCCTGCCGAGGACCCCAATCCTCGCAGTGGGCTTGTTTGCGGTCGGATGTGCGATGAAAGTTCTAACGTTCGTGTGCAATTCTGTCGTATAGATTGATTGACGGCAAGGAGGGGGAGCTGTATATAAGCCCAAAGCAGAATGATTGACGTGAAGGAAGGGAGGGAAAAATAGATCGAAAGAAGCAGAGCGTGTATTTCGAGGAGGACATCGTATACAAGGATTTTGCTGGAAGGCATTTACTATTTGTTCCCTCCCTCTCCCTCCCTCCCTCCCCTGCTTCCTCCGCTCTCCTTCCTTCTGGGGACGGAGGGGTGGTGGTTGTGGGTGGTGGTTTAGATGGCCATGGACCCTCGCTCCGCTACTCTCCACATGTACAAAAGGCAAAAAATATGGCTGTGTGTCTTTCCATATTCTAGCAGAAGATTCATTCTCATTTTGCACATTTGGGTGAGTAGTGGAGCGAGGCCCTATGTCTAATCGAGGTGGGGGGGACGATTGTCGTTATTTCCAGACGTTATTGGTGTTTGAGGGGTATCTACTTTCCCCCGAACATAATGCACCCTAAAAATGAATGTATACAAGCTATAACAGAAGTGTTGAAACAACCACAATATAGTCCAATCTCGATTGAAAAGCACGTTTCAGTGGTTCCCGTTTGAAACAAAATCAATAAAATAGCTAAAAGCATGAAAACGGATCCAAGTAAAGCATATAAGAAAAACTGATATGCTGCTTGTATTTTTCTCTGTGTAGAACCCCATACCCCTATAAAATAAACATAGGGATTAAAACACCCTGTTTTTGCCGATGTGGTTATTAAAGAATGTTTAAACACAAGTATAGTTTATTTGTGTTCAAGTGTGTCTGGAGCATCAAAATGGTGTGATGGAATGATAAATAGTTTGAATGCTAGCCAGAGTTATATATAGTTATAGGCGGCCGAAGATACAGCCAAAATAAGGGTGCGTTTTGTTCGGGGGAAGACGGGTAGTTTCTATGACGCATGGTATAGCCGTACATTTTGTAAATGGCCTCATCGAAAAACAAAAAAGACAAGGGACAAAGAAATGGGGCCTGATCATCAACCGATTCCTCTCCTTCTCTGTGTATTAGGGCCTACCTACCTTCTTCCCCCGAATACAACGTACTGTCATTATAGCTGTATTTGATGCATCTTTCAGGCTAGATAAACTGCTATAATGACCGTACGTTGTATTCGGGGGAAGAAGGTAGTTGCACCACTCGCCATCCGCGAACACCTTGAACGCATCTGGTCATCTCCTTCGTCCGGATGCCTCCCCACAATCCTGGCAGACGACGAGCGGGGCAACTACTGTAGGCCCTTAACCCGCCGATGGTTTCAGATTTGGGTTCGAGGTAATGGTGATTGTTATCAAAGGGTGTTTCAACTACTGTGTTCACCCGAATAGAACGCCCGGTAATTATCACTGTATCTAGACTGAAAGTTGCACCAAATACAGGTATGATGACCGGGCGTTCTGTTCGGGTGAAGACGGTAGTATGCGTGTACTACTGTCTTCACCCGAATAGAACGTACCATCATTGGCGATGCACCTGGACTGCAAGTTGGGCCAGATGCAGATATAATGACGACCGTACGTTCTATTCGGGGGAGGTGCAGCTGCGGCTACCGACTTTCCCTGCACTCAACGCACCCTCGTTATGGCTGTACCGGACTGGAAACATAGCTTACATATATTCATTATGAGGGTGCGCGTTGTGTTCGGGGGAAGACGGCAGCACGGCTGATGTGCAGATGGGGATGGGAGGTGCAGCGACGGCCACCGGTAGCTACAGTCTTCCCCCGAATACAACGTACGGTTATTATAGCTGAGTTTAGACTGAAAGATGCACCAAATTCAGCTATAATGACCGTACGTTGTATTCGGGGGAAGACCGTAGCACGGTTGATACGGCTTTCGCTTTTATGTTTTACGGTAATCCCTATGCCCCACTTGTCCCTATCCCTATCCCTGTACTATATATTATATTATATTATTATGTTATATATATACTCCGACGAAACAGTTTGTCACAGCCCCTTGTTTGTTGTCCTCTTCTCTCTCTCTGCCTACAGTTTACCGGGCAGTTCTGTTTGTGACGATATATATTGATATCATGTGACAATATATGCTACAGTCTTCCCCCGAACAAAACGCTCGTATGTACTATTCAACCTTCCCTGGAAAACTCGATTTTTCGAAGTAGCTCCTGAAAATCCGAATAGTACGCACGTTCAAATAGTATGCACGTGTGTACTATTCGAATAGTACGCATCTCTCT